GAGGAGGAGGAGGAAGGCAGGGGGTTGCGAGTCGTACAGGAGACGATGTCGAAGCTGTTCGCCTACGCGGAGGGCGGTGGTGGTACCCGGAGCAACGTGGAAAGGGGGAGAGAGTACGGTGCAGGAGGAGGAGAAGGTGGAATGACGATGGAGGTGGAAGAGAGAGTGCCACAATAGTCGCCATGGTAACGCCGTGCTAACGCTGACAGAGAAAGAGAGAAAGAGAGAGAGGGAGAAAGAGAAAGAGAGGAGAACTGAAGGAGAGAAAGAGAGAGAGGCCTCCGACTCAGGGACTCTATTTCCATAATCTGCTGCTTTGTCGATTCTGAATTATGCGACTACGCTCCTCCCCTCTCCCTCTCCCCGCCTCCTTTTACCCCCTCGTCTCCTTCATCCCGCGCATCGGCTCCCCCTTTTATCCCCTCTCCCTCCCCTTCCATCCGCAACGGCGACACCGTCTTCGTCGTCCGCCCCTGAACCAAGTATCCGATTATTTGCTCGAAATCGATTTCACGTGTTCGGCCCGCTTTTGCATTTGTACAAGCGCGCCCGTACGACGAACATCGACTATTGTGCGCGCGACGTCATGGACATCTCGCCCTATGGGGCCTGTCCGCGTCCTTATTCTTCGTCTTCGTCTTTCGTTTTCTTCTCGTTCTCAGGAACTTCATTGTTGCTCACCTTTCTGTTGACAGCACCGATTTGCGGCGATCTCCAAACGACACCGGACTTTCTCCCTGAGCTTCCGCATGTAACAATCGACATATAAATAGCATATAACAATAAGAGTCCCTCAGGCCTGCACCTGTTTGCACTTTTATGTTTATTAAGCTATTGGTTTATACTGTTGAGGTTATACTGTTGGGGTTATACTGTTTTGTACAGTTGTAGATAATATTGTGTTGGCCATTCTTCAATTCTTCTTTTTTCCACTTATTACAGTCTTGTAGCCTATTTTAAAATTTCCATTTCTTGACTGTCAACATGACTGTCTTAATGTATTAATGTATTGTGTCCAAACATTTTTGCATTATAAGCTTTTTGCATTATAAGTTTAACAATTAATCTGTCAGCAACTTCATATTTCAACTATTGCATTATACTCACAAGAGTAACCTTTTACACATTCAGAGAGTCACACTTTTTTTTGGTCTTTTCGAACATATTTTGATTCTTAGACCTCTACAACTGCTTCATAAATTCTTTTGTCATTGCTTATTCCTTTGTATTTCTTTTGCCTTGAATTCTGTTTTACGCGGATAACGAAGAACACGGAAGTCATTACAATAAACTCCATCTGACAAACTAATAATTAATTACACTCATTATATCAAGTCCTCTAAACATTAAGCGAAATCAGATTACAAACTATTCTTTTGAACCGAAAAACGGGAATACTAGGACTATTCGCCCTTCTCCCTTAAGGAATACCTTCCGTTAGTTACACTGTCTAGAAGGCGTTTGTTAATTCCGAAGTAATTAGTTTAACGAGAGGAACGGAAGAGAATTCGATGAAACGCGCACGTTGGAAAGTAGTTCGTTCGAAGAGGGCGCTTTTCATCGTCAGTTGAATTTCCAGCAGCTGCCCATTGTTCGGTCTCCATTGTTCTAGTATCTCGAGGGCGGCGCTTCCCTTTGTCTCCACCCTTTGTACCTTTCCGTGGCCGGATCTCTCGCCTCCTCGCGCCAGCGCGAGAGGACGATGATGCCGGCGAGAGATCGAGGGAGAGAATTGGAGACGAACAGAAGAGGAGAGACACAGCCGGGATGGTGAAGGGTGGAGTTGGTACAAACGCTGGATAAAAAGGATTCCGGAAAGGGTAAGAGACGGCTGGTTTCAAATCGGACGGAACGTCACGCTTCTGTAATTTTTCCCTTCTATTATCCCGCGGGAATGCGCGATCCTGAAATCAGGACGCGCCGCTTCGTTAATTAAATTTTAAATACAAGTGTGGTGAGGAATAAAAGTAGCAGACTATATTAGAAAATTTTTTTTTTTAAATTTCTCTATCTTACCTCCTTCTAATTATAATTTTAAAAAATTAATAAAATATTCATAATACAGAGAAAAATATTTATACCAATATTTCAAGATGTTGTATAATGTAAAACATTCGAAATAGGTACTTACAACTGGAAGTTGAATTAGAAGAAAACAGAATGTCAGTTAAACTGTTCAAATTTGACTTTAAATTTGCCTTTAAATTGTTGTATTACATAATTGAATTCTTTTTTGCATAAACGCAAATTATTTTTTCATCGAGCACAATTTCGAGCACTTCTGATCAAATTTAGCGTTAACTGTCTGTCTCGATTGAAGTAACCGTCGGGTGAAATGCTTCGACTAAATCCCGCTGTTTCTCATCGGGGCGGCGACCTCCCTCGACCTTCTTTCGCGAAAGGCGATGCCTTTAGCCCTTCCGCTCGCCGGATGCAGGAAAGAGAGAAAGCCGCGCCATCCATCTTCGTAGAACAAAGTACGGCGATCCACTTTCGTGGCCGAATGCGAATCCAATGCAAATCCTACGCCGGATCCTGACAATGGTCGACCTAGCGATATGGTAATGTCCTCCCACGTCGATCCTGACGAATACACTGCTCCCTTCGCGTATACAGGATCGAACAGTATGTACATGTATGTGCGGACATATGTACGAATTCAAAATACGACAGTGTACGATGTACACTGTTACCAACACCAATGAGTGTGTGTATGTGAGACACGGTGAAACTCCGGCATACATACTATCAGTGCCGTAGTGAGGGCGCATATCACCCTGTAAAGATATTAAGATAAGTCTTCTTTGATACAAATCACATTCGAGTCGAAAATCTCTATAATTTTATAAACGTAAGGATACTTTCTTTAAAAATGTTTGTGAGTTTGTCTTACTGCGATCTTTAATTCACATTTGAAAGCATTTAAGATTTCCCATTATTTTGATGATAAATTATCAATTGTGTTTGTAACGAAAAAATCATTTCAAATTAATCAAATTTTTTGTCGAACATTATAGAATTTGTTCAATCTTCTAAACGTAAACTAGGCTAAATTCGAGATTATTTCTAACATAATACAAAGAGCCTATATTACATATATATAAAAACACATCAAAAGCGGTAACTA